GAATATTCATTGCCAAGGTAGGTGGATTACAAGGTCAGGAGATCAAGACCATTCTGGCTAACACAGTAGAACCCCGTCTATACTAAAAATAAAAAGAAAACAAAATTATCCAGGCATGGTGGCACGCGCCTGTAGTCCCACCTACTCGGGAGACTTGAGGCTGGAGAATTGCTTGAATCCAGGAGGCGGAGGTTGCAGTGAGCCAAGATTGCGCTACTATACTCCAGCCTGGGCAACAGAGCAAGACTACGTCTCAAAAAACAAGCAAACAAATAAAAATTAGCCAGGTGTGGTGGCAGACGCCTGTAATCCCAGCTACTCAGGAGGCTGAGGCAGGAGAATTGCTTGAACCCAGGAGGCGGAGGCTTCAGTGAGCCAATATCCACCACTGCACACCAGCCTGGCAGCAGAGCCAGACTCCGGACTCCGTCTCAAAAATAAAAAGCAACTGACTTGTTTATGCTTATAAATTACAAATGGTGAATTACAAGTCTTTGGCCGGATGCAGTGGCTCACACCTGTAATCCCAGCACTTTGGGAGGCTGAGATGGGCAGATCACCTGAGGTCAGGTGTTTAAGACCAACCTGGCCAACATAGTGAAACCCTATCTCTACTGAAAATCGAAAAAACTAGCCAGGCGTGGTGGCAGACGGAAGGCCGAGGGAGGAGAATTGCTTAAACCTAGGAAGTGAAGGTTGCAGTGATCTGAGATGATGCCACTGCACTCAAGTCTGGGCAGCAAGAGTGAAACTTCGTCTTGGGGAAAAAAAAAAGGAATCACAAGTCTGCTAATTCTTGAGTGTTTTAAAAAGTCAATATTTAATATATCAATTATTCATTCAATTAAAATTATCATTTTAATATCACTTAAAATGATATTAGCACCTACTATGTCCCAAGCACTGAGCTAAGTCCCAGGGTTACAGTTATTTTAAGACAATGATCTCCTCTTATTCTGTGTGTCTTACACAGATATTGGAGTTACTGTTTAGCTCTCTGGGGCTGGAGAGAAAAGAAAAAAAAAAGAAGTACCACCCTGATCTTCACAGAGATAAGTTAACCCTTGCTCCTTCCTATAAACCTTTATTTCTTAGCTTTATAATCAACCAACTTCTAATTGTGGAATGGAGGTTCACAATTTTTAGTGTGTTTTTAAAAATAAATTTTGAATTCATGCAAAGGGTTACCCAGGCTCTAGGTATGAGAGAGGAACCTAGTATAATGCAAGAGGGTAGACTTTGTAGGAAGGCAAACCTAAATGTGAATTTCAGTTCTGCTTCTTACTAGTTATTTAGCCTTGTGCAAACTATGTAACCTCTCAGTTTCCTCATATATAAAGTACAGATAAGAATATCTTACAGGCCAGGCATGGTGTTTCACACCAGTAATCGCAACATTTTAGGAGGCTGAGGCAGGAGGATTGCTTGAACCGTAGAATTTGAGGTTACAGTGAGCTGATTATGCCATTGCACTACAGCCTGGGCAACAGAGTAAGACCTTGTCTCAAAACAAACAAAAACACAAATATGTTATAGGTTAAATAATGTTTTTACAACTGCTTACATGTATTGTAGACAGTAAAATTATTTACTCCCAAATAAAATGATCACTTATAAGGTCATTTTTATTAACATTCCTTTTCATTGAATGCAAAGATGTTTCATCTTAATATAGAATAATTTTATTTTATTTTGACCATATTATAGAAGAGTGTCTGGTTGCTATATCATATGCTTCTTGAAGTTAATTCATCATTGCACATAAGAATTGAAGTTTATCAACAATAAAATTGCATCAGTTTACATTATTAGCGTCACTCTATATGGATATTAAGCTAAACAAAAGTAAATACTCCAAACTCAACTACTGAACTGTTATTAGTTCTGGATCTTTGAACCACATGATCATGTACAAAGTTCATTTAGTGAATATGCATTTTCTTCTGTCTTTAATAACTTTAGATGAATCAGTGAATAAAATGAATATGGGAAATGAATATAAAATTATTGGAATTCCAACCTGTGTAAAAACCTCACAAACTGCTGTCTGTATAGAAGCGAATAGCATAACTTTTTGTAATTCAAAAGGTAAGGAAAATGTTAGTATTATATATTAACAAATATTTACATTTAAATGTATTTGTTCAGCAGATAAGTATTGTTTGCCTGTGTGCTAGGCATTCTTCTAAGCACTAAGGATACAGCTGTAAACAGGACAGTCAAGGTTTCTGCTCTTAAATCATATGGCAGATAGTCAATAAACATGTAAAGTAAGCAAAAGACAATTTCAGATAGTAAGTACACGAAGGAAATAAAACAGGAAAATGTGGAAACTTGCTAGCATGTATGACTCCTTGCTTTGGGCTAAGCCCTATTTTAATTTTTTAAATAATTAATGAGAAAAATGTTTCATGGTTAGAGATTAGTCAAAGGGTTTTTCTATATCACCCTTTATTTACTAGCCAAGGCAATTCTAGGTTAACTGTTGTGGTCTGAGAAGAAGGACTCAATAAAATACCATCCTTTTCCTTAGCTGAATTCTGAATCAAATCAAGAAATAAGATAAAGGCAGATGAGGACCAAAATATCACCTTTATTACTGATAATTTCCTTTAACAACTCCAACATGCTTTAGCATTATGTAAACAAAAGTGGAGAGCAGATCTCTTCTTTTAACTTGGCTCACAAATATCTTAATATAGATAAGGCTGGTTAAATCTTGAATAGAGTTGGATTTTATTTATAATCCATATGTTCCTTGAATGGGCTATATATTTTCAAAGTGCTCCCCAAATGCAGAAGGACCTGAGAAACGAAAGGAGGCAGACAAGTCCAGCTTGTCATTATAGGGTGGTTTTATTGGGAAACTTATGGACAAAAGCAGTCTTGGGCAGCTGCAAGATGGACCCAGGAATTATATAGGAAAGGAGTACATATGCTTCAGAGGGATTGGATAGGAATTTGACCTAAGGACAAGATTTACAGTAAGTATGAATTTATCAAGGTTGATTGATCTAAGGGCAGGATTTATGGTAAGTATATGCTCTTGCAAGAGGAACAACAGATCAACTGGAAATCTCAGTGCATTTGCAGATCTGGGGTTAATTAGAAGTCAAATGGCAGGTTAGCTTCCAAGATGGTTTCTTTTTTTTTTGAGATAGTTTTGCTCTATCACCCAGGCTGGAGTGCAATGGTGCAGTCTTGGCTCACTGCAACCTCCATCTCCTGGGTTCAAGCAATTCTCCTGCCTCAGCCTCCCAAGTGGCTGAGATTACAGGTGTGTGCCACCACGCCCAGCTAATTTTTGTATTTTTAGTAGAGACAGGGTTTCACCATTTTGGCCAGGCTGGTCTCGGACTCCTGACCTCAGGTGATCCACCCTCCTCAGCCTCCCAAAGTGCTAGGATTACAGGTGTGAGCCACCACATTCAGCCCAAGATGAAGTTTCTTTAGCCTCCATACTGTGGATAATCATCAGTAGTAATAGAGACCCAAGTTGAATTTAAATGTAAGTAGGTTCTAAATACTTCTACTTACTTAAAAAGAAAACTTCTTAAAAGAACAAAAATGTTAAAGAAAGAAAGCACTGATGAACTATAGAGGGTTTAGTGATTTTTAAAATATTTTCTGCTAAGTATTTAAAAATTTATTGATTTTGTAGCAGAACATGACTTTTCTATAGATGGAGAGTGTGCTTTTTTATGCTGAACTCTAGAAGGAGACATATTTAACTACCCAAATGTGGCAAGAGCTGGACTAAAGTAGGCCTCTCTTAGTCCATGGGCATGGATGCGTAGAGGAAATCATTGCTCTCTGATGGCAGCCCAGAAAGGAGAATGGGACTGGGTTATACATGCACAGCTGTTTCACCCAAACTATCAATTGGATAAATCACTCATTTCTTTCAGGAGATAGACAGTGAGAGGATGGAGAAGATCTAGAATTTTACAGTATACTATAGTACGTTGCTTTCAAAGTAGTGGAATATAAATCTTTCCATTTAACAGTGACATTCAAATATTTCCCATTCTGCTTATTATTCCTCTTTGAAGGCGATACATAGAAATATAATAGCAAACACAGCAATTCAGGAGCTCCATGATCTGGTTTGCTCACATAGATCTTAAAAGGAAAAGAATGAGAGATTTGCTTGCAACCCACAGCCAATCTACATGGACACACAGGGTGACTTCTTCCTTGCATTACATTCCCTGAGATAGAAATGATAAACTAACATGACCTCAAATGATAATTTAATATCCTTCTAAGAATTTAAAGGCCAGGCACGGTGGCTCAGGCCTTTAATCATAGCACTTTGGGGAGGCCAATGCAGGAGAATCAATTGAGGCCAAGGGTTAAAGACCAGCCTGGGAAACATAACAAGATCTCGTCTCTCTAAAAATAATAATAATAATAATAATAATAATAATAATAGTAGGCATTATTAGAACTATACTTTGATAACATTTTAGATAAATGAAATCAAATATCTATAATGTTTTCTTGTTTTATTGTTTTAAAACCCTTTCTAATATATATGTTAATATTTACTTTCAGTTCCTTCAGGAATTAGTGACAACTTCAAGTGTCTTCTCTCCTTAACTTCAAGCTCATGCTGGAAATTTACAGCAATACTTGCCAATATCTTTGCATCACAAATTACTCCTCCTGGGACTTACAATTTGCTGAAGCTCTGTTTGTTGATGAGTCTGGTACAGATAACTGACCGTAACAAGGAACTGGAAGATTGTCTGGATATTTTAATAATAACAAGTGATACTCTACTTGCAGACAGGTAAATATGTGACATGAACTTTTACAAATATTGATTAGTCACAGATTTGCATACATCCTTTCCATGAGCATTATTACAAGAAGAATATTTAGAATGTTTCTGAGCCAGTATAAATATTTAAATCAATCCTTATCAATAAAATCAAAACCTTTGAAAGATAATAAGTGATAAATTGAATTACTCCAAGTTTCAACCAATTTCCCCACTAAGACTTTTGTAAGTAAATACATCCTTCCCAGTCTTCCTTTCTCCCCATTCCCTAGCTCTGTATTCTCTTTCTGTACTTCGTTTTGAATAATCTTCCCCCTAAGGAACAAACAAACCATTTTCTTATCTTTCTTCAATATTCCAATCAATAATATTGACTCACTGCATCCAAATAAGGCTGTCAGAAGTGCCGTAATTAGGCTGGGCACAGTGGCTCATGCCTGTATTCTCAGCACTTTGGGAGGCCAAGGTTGGTGGATCACCTGAGGTCAGGAGTTCAAGACTAACCTGGCCAACATGGTGAATCCCTATCTCTCCTAAAAATACAAAAATTAGCTGGGCATGGTGGCGGGCACCTAATCCCAGCTACTTGAAAGAATGAGCAGGAGAATCACTTGAAACTGGGAGGCGGATGTTGCAATGAGCCAAGATCCCACCATTGCACTCCAGCATGGGCCACAAGAGCAAAACTCCGTCTCAAAAAAAAAAAAAAAAGAAGTGCCATAATTAGTGTGTGTGGGGAACATCATCCTAACTCTGGAGTAAGCCTTTCTACTCAGCATTTTGTGGCTCCCTACTAGCAAGTACCTTTTCCTTTAAAAAGCTGTATAAATATTCACAAAGCCAGGAATAAGCTCCTTGTTTAGTATCTTGTATGCAATTCCAAGGCATAAAATAAATTTACAAAATGAATTTAAAATAGAAAAATATAAAATTCAAATTAACAGTAATTTAATTAAACAGATTATGTTTTGCTAAAATTAAATTGCCACTGGTGATGTAAATATGGTACCAAATGCCCAGATTTTACCACTTTATTCTTCTATTAACAGAGCAGAAGAGTATTTGTAGTCAGGAGTGGAGGCTTATGCCTGTAATCCCTGAACTTTGGGAGGCTGAGGTGGATCATGAGGTCAGGAGATCAAGATCATCCTGGCTAACACTGAAATCCCATCTCTACTAAAAATACAAAAAATTAGCTGGGCATGGTGGCACACACCTGTAGTCCCAGCAACTTGGGAGGCTGAGGCAGGAGAATCGCTTAAACTCGGGAGAGGGAGGTTGCAGTGAGCCAAGATCGTACCACTGCACTCCAGCCTGGGCGACAGAGCGAGACTCCATCTCAAAAAAAAAAAAAAAAAAAAAAAAAAAAAAAAAATGGAATATTTGTTTCCTCACAGCCTCACCAACTCTGGTATTATCAAACTTTTATTTTTGTTATTTTCTTTTGTTTGAGACAGGGTCTCACTCTGTCACCACGTTGGAATGCAGTAGCATGATCATGGCTCACTACAGCCTCAATCTCCTGGGCTCAGGTGATCCTCCCGACTCAGCCTCCTGAGTAGCTGCGACTACAGGCACACACCACTACACTGGGCTAATTTTTAAATTTCTTATAGAAATAAAGTCTCCTTATGTTGCCAGGGCTGAACTCGTGGCCTCAAGCGATCCTCTCACTTCATTAATAAAACTTTAAAATTTTGCAATCTGATAGGTAGAAAATTGTATTTTATTTTAATTTGCATTTAATTGGAAATAACTTTTGGCATCATATAAAACTTATTAAACATGTATTATTTTTCTATGAACCTCCCATTCTTGATCTTTTCTTTTTTT